TCTTGATGTTTCTCAGCCGGTGAATCTTCTCCGATTGCCGACGAGCTAATTTGCAGGTGTTCTTTTTGATCTCTTGTATTGCTTCTTCAAGTAGTTTCTCGCGTTCTTCTTGCTTCAAAAATGGTTCTACCATAAAGAACTTATCCAACTCGGGAACCCCAATTGCTTTCCTGATTCCTCTTGTGCAATCCGCGTTGAATTTGAAGAAAGATCTAACCTCTTCAACCATGCCATTGTCGACCATTCTGTCAACTCGTTTTGACACTGCCGAGTGGAGAACAGGCATTGAGACGTCGACCCAGAGAAAGCAACACTCGTATCGCGAACGGAACCTCATGTCGTCGTCGTCAACGAGGGCCTCGATGTAGGTGTTGGAGCCTCCGACGATGATCGGAAGGTGGCCACGGCTCAAGCTTGATTCAATGGCGAGAGAGCACATGTCGCGGAAGTTGGCAGAGGTGAAGTCTGCGGTAGGTGGCAAGACACTGAGCAGATGATGAGGCACTCCGCGGCGTTCTTCCTCGGTGATTTTGTTAGTGAGGATGTCAAGACCTTGATGAACTTGGATCTTGTCGGAGTTTATGATCTCGGCGGGGAATCGGGTGGCGAGGTCGATTGAAAGTCGTGACTTGCCGGTGCCTGTTGCACCCATTACGATGACTACTTTGTCTTTAGGTCGGGGAGTGTTTAACATGTCGAAGTTGAGGGTGGGCGGGGGGATCATGTCGAGTAGAGGGACTGATTGTTTACACATTGACATGGACATCATCTTCATCGTCGTCAACCTGTTAATCCCCAAAGAAATCAAATTTAGTAAGCTCACATTAATGGTAACTGAAACATGACCTCCATCTTTTTTTATTTATACGGGCCGTACACTTTCAGCCTATTTGAATGAAAAGTAAACATATATGTACATATATATTTATATATATAAATATTCCTCTACTCATTGTTAAATTAAGTACGTTATCTATTTATTAAGAAATATCATTTATATTCTACATTATTATTTGTTTTATTTAAACAAATATTTAGTAGCAAGTTATGCTTTTGTTTGAACTTCCATTATCTCTGTTTCAAAAGCTTAATATTCTTAAATTATTTCTGCCATGTCTAATTTCTCCACTCACATTGTTTTTTTCTTTTAAAACAAAAAACAAAAAAGGGAAGAACAAAAACTTAAAAATTCGAGCTCTAAACTTTATCGAACTTCTTCCCCGAATCAAATTCATATTTTGTATGTTCATATATTCTCTCCATTCATTTTATTGTCAACCTATATGTACACTGTGGCATATACTAGTAATTTACATACCCTTTTCATCTATAGAAGAGACTGTTATAATACATATGTTGAAAAAAAAAAAAATGAAGGAAGAAAGTAGAGCTTACCGTGATACAGTGCAAGGTATACAATGCAAGTAGGATGGGAAGAAATGTGGGTGCGTTGGAGAATAAGAAGGGGAAATTTAGTCTGCAATATTGGACAAATTGTGAAATGAAAGGCGTCTTATAGTGCTGAGCATAATGGAGTGATAGATTGAGTATTTATATACAAGGATATATATAAATACAGCCAAATGGGTCAAGTGGGAATTTCTTTTTTTCTCTGTTTCTCCTCCTACATTTTTTATGGTCAAACTAAAAGTTGCTTCAATGATAATCTTTAACTCGTCCTTTATACTTTTTTTTTTTTTTTTTTCTAGTTTCATATATATATACACACACACACACACACATACATATATGTTATGTATATGTATATGTTCTTATTCTCAAAGTGTCTCTGGACCTTCCATTAACATGGAAAGGCACTTGTATAATTTTTGAATATTTGAATTTTTAGGAAAGCAATGGGCAGCAATGACTTTTCCTTCCCATGAGATTTGATAATTCCATTATATGTGTGTTCGTGTATATATGTATATGTATATGTATGTGTATGTGTTATCTAGTGCTGAGTAAATTTTATTTAATTTCATCCGAAATTAGGTATTCATGATCATAACTAGAAATTTTTGTCCTCTAATAATTTTCTTTCCAAATCTTAGTGATCATACCCTTTTTGGGCAAGCTTTTATTTGGTGATATTTTTTTAATTAATTAGTATATAGTAGTAAATTAACCTCTTTCCTATTCATTTAAATACTTCAACTCAAATAAAAATATATATATATTTAATAAATCTATATTTACCTGTCATGTTAAGATCAACAGTTAATTAAAAATTTAAAATTTAATTATCACGATTTTTCTTACAATTCAAATTCTGAACAGAGAGATTTGCCACGAGTCGATCCAGATCAACACCTGCTCTAATATGATTCAGATTAATAAAAAAAATTTAGTTAGAAGTTGAACAGTGCAGATTCAATATATTTATAAAAAAAAAATTATTGTACTGATTACTTGACTAATCATACTTTCTCGGACCCTCTTAGTTTTTATTTTCATCGCCAACCTTTTGCTAATCTCATTCACATCACTAGAAACAATCTAGTCGGAGTGTTTTGATATCTAACTCTTATTTTTGTATTTTTTCTTATATATATATATATATATATATAATTTAATTATCACGTTCATTTTTTTTTTTAAAAAAATAAGACTCGAATCATTAACTATATATTTTTAATTAGCATTATATTAGATTTAAATATGATGTATAACTAATTTGTGTTTTCATCAATTGTTGACTACAATCCAAAAGTATTAGGATGTATAAATATATAAATAATAAAGTTGAACCTTTTCCTACTCATTAATTAAATTATTTTTTTTTGCATTAAGATCATCTTTACATAGAAAATTCTCCCATTAATGTTATGTTTTTGCTTTACACTTTATGGAGATGTGATAGCAATAAGCACAGGACTCTCTTTATATATACATATATATACACACACACACACATACACATGGCACCAATTAATTTGTGATATATATTAGAAAACATATATGGGTTTGAATAACAAGTGTATAAGTTAAACATATTTCATAATCAAACTGGAAGTAGATGTATTCCTGGTTCTGAAAATAACTTCAAATACTAGGGGAAAAAAAACACAGTTAGCGATCAATGATGGAACATATATATGTATATGTATATGTATATGTATATACTAGCCATGGCTGCATAAAATTGTATATATTCTTACAGTGACTGGGGGAATTTAGATGGGTTGGATTCAACAATAAGTTTATATTTGTAAACATCCGATTCCCCTCATCCCAGCTTGGTAGTGGGCACATGACATTCGCAGTTGGCATCTCTTATCAATTCTCTCCTCATCAAACCTGCAATTTGCCTACACTTTAACCCATCTTGTTTTGACCATACAGAATAACCCATCTAATCCCAAAACTCCAACTCTCTATACTTTTTTTCCACCAAAAAAGAAGCCATCCTGAATATGTATGTATGTACGTACGTACGTATGTATGTATGTATGTATATCAGAGAGATAAAACTTCCATCTTCAACTTTCTTTTCGCTAACTTGGGTATATGGTATGATTGGACATAACATGGCATAGCTTTTTCATGTCCAATAGAAAAACAATGTACTTTCTATGTCCTTTGTAAGCTTCCTGAGACTGATCTAATGGAAGAGTGGAAGTAAAAAAATATATATACATATAGTGGTGATTGCGATTATCCTTAATTCCTCGTATTAGTTATAACTAATACTATCCAAGTCAAACTTAGGCTCTCGTACTACTAAAAATTAATTTCATTTACTATTTAAGATGGTATTAATCCAATACACTGAGAATTCAATTAAATTTACTAATCTTAATTAGCCTGATAAACCAAAAAAAAAACCCTAGATGCAGAAAATTTGAATGGGTTTAGGTTAGATAATTTAATTTGACAAAAGTAATAATGGGTGCAGGTTACATTTGGATTATCATACCAGCTGTTTGGCATCTTAGAAAAAGAAAAAATAAAATTGAAGTCGAATTGTGCAAATTCTTTCGGTTGATATTTGATTGATGTGCTTTTTTGACAGGCACACGCTGCACTAGCTTGGCCTTATGTGATTTAGAGGTGTAAGTATAGATTGTTAATTCATCATCTAATTGTGAAAATAAATAATTAAAGCTTTAATTTAATTTCCATACTTAATTGTAATTTTACTTGTATTTATCTATCCATATACTCGTAAAAACATGTATTTGATTCGTTATACAAAAGGGTAAATATATCATAAGTGTAATAATTATTACATGAAATAAAATCAATACATAGGATAAATCGTTATTTATGGCGTATTACAAATTTATTTCAATCTATACTACTATTAAACTATGTATTATAATAATTTATTATTAATTTGCTAATCAAATATTTGTTATATTGAATAATTAGTACGTTCTACATTTGATTAGTCACATAAATCCAATCCAATCCAATCATTACTTCAAACAGAGATGATATAAATTCGAAGATTATAATAAAAAAATAAATTAAGAATTATATGAAATTTCATAAGTGGTATCAATTCGAAGTGATCTATCGATGGAGTAGCATGTATTTGGATCGTCATCCCATCAATTCATGATCATTATCTTTACAATTAAAATTAAAAAAAAAAAAAATTGGGACACGCAACTCTGGTTAATTGGCAATGGTAGGTGTACCTTTGCTATACTTTAGGCTATAGGTATTATTACATACAAAAAGAAACATATATATATATATATATATATATATATTATACGAATGGGTTAGTAATGATTGACAAGCCGCTATTCATACATTACCACATATATTTTTTTATTTTATTTTATCATAAAGTACTCAATCCGTATATATTATGGTGACTAAACTATATATGGGTTGTTTTTATATATTAAAACTAATTTCTATTTTTTTTTTTTTAAGTTTAGTCAACAAATTACTCAAAGCGAGATTAAAAATTCCCAAGAAAAAAAAAATTACGTTCTCATTTTAAAATGATCAAACATTAAACTTGGAATTAATTCCTACGTAGTGTTAGTAAAATAGAATTTTTCTTAAATTTAATCATAATTTTTTTTTACACTAAATCTCGACAAAAAAATTATAAAAAAAACCCGAATAAACAAAAAAAAAAAAAAAGGACGAGGGTTTTGAGAATACAAAATCTTAGATTAGAAATTTCGAAAAAAAAAAAAATCTCTTTTTATTTTGAAAATAGAAAAAAAAAATTATAAGAGGGTAAAAGTTGTACACCAAACTATTATATATACAAACCCTAAATGCAAATTACACTATTTATACTAATACGTATTTACCTCTCTTATATTTTGAATAAATTAATTAATTTTCTATTAAGTCGTTTATTTGAATATAATCTATTCATTCTCTTTAACGATTGTATATTAGAAACGAATTTTGAGAATAAAAACATTGATCATGATCGGAATCAATGGAATAGAAAGGGTATGGGTATCAATACCTATTTTGGAAATGAGGCATCGCAGCAAACCAATTATTTTCTAAAGTGTTAAAGTAGAAACTAAGGAGAATAAATTACTATTTGAGCTAATTACTATTTGGTTTGATAGTATATATAGTTAAGACATGACTTAATATGTTGATGAGACAAGCCATTATCAAAGACTATGTAAGCCATTATCAAAGACTATGTTGCTAAAAGTTAAAGCATATATACACACACACACACACACACACGCAAATATACATACATGATGATCAAGGGAGTAGGCATCACTGGTTTTCGTTGAAATGTACATATACATGCTTACTACCTAGAATGATATTTTAGTTTTTTGAAGATATGGGTCTTCTTTTTTTTTCTTGGATGTATTCTGGGTTTGAAAAAAGGAACCGGCTTGACCCATTTTGAAATATAAAGCTTATTCTTTTTGTTCTGAAGCAGAAGAGTATATATATATATATATATATATGTGGAGATAAGGTGGTCAATCTTATATTCTTTGTGGAGTTTGACAAGAAGAAGATGGTAACGTACGGTATATACATAAATGTATACATAAATGGATTCACAAAGGAAGCCCTCACTTTCTGTTTGGAGTTTGTGAAGGAGAGGAGAGGAAAAAGAAAAGAGAGATCAAGAAAGAAAGGGCATATTTATGTACCTCCTTTGTTTTAAAAAGAGAAAGAATAAAAGTTTGTAGAGTAAAAAGTTTAGGTTCTCAATTTTAGTTTGACCCAAAAAAATGGAAAAGTAAAGGTCAGATGAATAAGAAAGTGGGTATATATATATATATATATACACACACAGATACACACACACATGAGTAAATTTATATGCTTAATTTTATAACTTCTTTTCCCATTATAACAAATGCAAACATAATATAAAATTCTTTTATGGTTCTTACCAAAATATTCCTATTAAAGAAAGCTGGGAAGGAGCCCATTGCAATCTTAAGTCCAGCCCAGAACCCATTAGCTTATATTTTAAGCCCAAGCCCATCAATAATCAAATAAGCCCGTTTCGAGACACACTGTTTAATAGTCAGCTCAGCATGATGCAATTTAATTATTTATTTAGTGCACCGCGCACGTGTCGTGTTGTCTTGCACACGTGCGGTTAATCGCCACCGTTAGATTTCCTCCATTACGGATTGTACTACTTGCGGAGCACGTCCTTGAAAAAATTAGAAGACTCGGAGTTCACCCGGCCGGACCGGAATCACCCGCAAGCATATTCCTCTGTTTCCTCCTTTTAGCTTCCGTTTACGCTTTCACTTTTCGTCTTTTCTTTTCTTATCTTCTTACTCACAATCTCATAAACCAGAAGAGACGTACACTATCGCAAAGGAAAGTAGCAATCGATCTGTGGAGCAATCGACTGATCGATCGATCAATCATGGCGGTCCCTGATGTTTTGCAGAGAGATGATCTTCTTATATCATCTCCTCATTTTGATTTCAGTAAACACACTCTTCTCTCTATGCGTAGATGTTTGTATATGTATGTTTCCACGTATCTTTTTAGCGCTCGCTGTAGAAAGTTTATCCTTAGGTTTTAGGTTCAGTTTGTCTTCTTGTTCTTGTCAAATTTACAGAGCGAGATCCTTTTTTCTCTGGTTGATTAATTTAAGTCTGTGTTTCCAACAGATTCAGAAATGGCGTGGAATTCATTTGTAAATCTAGAATTAAAATAGGATAATGTTTAAATTGTGATGGGATAATAACAGATTTACATATGAAGTTTCAAATTGAAACGATGTATTCTAAATTTAAATTGATAAAAATTAGAATGTATTATTTTAATTTTATACTCAAATATTTTTTTTTTTTTTCATTTTTAGGTAGTACTCTCGCTCACCATTTTATACCTAAATCCTATTTTGATCTTAAATGTGTGATCGTGAAGTGATTCTCCACGAATCATAGATCAAGTACTTTTTGTATTATAAAAGTTGGTATTACCAATTTTTGCACTCTCCGACTATCCAGTGAATTTCATTTTTAAATAAACTTCTTTAAGAAAAAATTGTCTTGAAAAGATTGTTTTCACTTTGATCAGGAGACGGTGCAAAATCTCGTGGCCAATCCATTGAGAAGAAGATCGAGTTCCTTGAGAGCTTGACGGGAAAAGTAACTTGTTTTCTTAATTTCCTCACTATGAGCATTTTTTCATCTGGTATATTACTTCATTTAGACAATTACTTGTACTTACCGCTGTCAATACAGTAATACATGAAATTATGAGCTTTGATTTCAGTTGTAAATTGGTAGTTATCTATTTGATGCTACGTTGGATCACATTGACGAGTTACTCGATGAGGAATGCAAATTTAGCGTTGGACTCATTTCTAAATTGGAGCTAGCTGTTGACATTCGTTTCAAATTTGAATATAAAATATGATGTAAATTTTGGAGTCACTACAATGATTGAGCTGTTATCATTTTTCATTTGATGAATCTTGGATCACTCAGGGCAGTTGGCGATGGCTTCAAATTTTCGAATAGTTTGTGTCGAGCTTTTTATAAATTGATATGTATATGAATGATTTTTCTTCTCGTAGAAAGAAATTTTCTTCAATGCACAATTTGGTTCCCGTTCCATATTTGGCTTCATAAGATATTGTTTTTCTGGATATTCAGCCATTACCATTGTTCTAATGCTTCATAAGTAATGCTTTTTTGTGTCAAATTTCTCCTGAGAACTGAACATTTTTTACATGGAAATTCAGAGTTTTGAAGAGAACATCAGCCATAATACAGACACATACAGACACACATATATAGATCATGTTAGCTTGAAATTTTTCTTTAAACTGAGTTGTAGGCAAGAAAAACCTTTGATTAATTATTTAAGTAAAGACATTGTGCTTTCTGTTTTTTTTTTTTTAATTTTATTTTATGGAGTCTTAACCATGTTATGTCCATTTAGGAGTTTAATAAATAGTAAGCACTTGAGGTAGCTACGTGACCGATGATTTTGAGGAACTTCATTTGTATTTTATTGGTTTTGATATCTTCTCTCTTTTTGTTTCTGGCTCTTAGAAGAAAAATCTCCTTCTGTGGAATCAATTGAAATTGTGTTAAATATTAACTTTAGCATGGAGTTATTTTGTAATTATCTTTCTTGGTTGCAGGTAAGCAATCGACGTTCTCGAAGATGGTTAAATGATTGTCTATTGATGGAACTTGTTCCTCGTTTAGATGCAGAGGAAATCAGAGGCTTGTTTGCTCCACCACCTTGGGGTAATGCTATTTCCTAATGATTTCTTATTTCCTTTTTCTTTGCATGTACGATCATTGAACCTGAACATATTTAGTTATTTCATTTCACCTGTTGCGTGTCACGTGTGATTATGTTTCAATATGCATTTGAGCAAAGGCAACCCACCAATTTGGGGATTTTCTGAATATTTGATGCTAGAGTTGAGCAACAACCTGTTTCTCCTATCTTGCCATGAGATGCATTGATGAATCAGGAGTACTTTTGGTTTTGATCTGCATTTTTTGTCTCTTGCTAAGCAAATGGCATGATAGGCACTCCAATTAAGTTTATTTATGAGAGGAGGGAGCAAAAGGGAAGAGGGAGCTGACGGGTGAGCTGGCAGGATAAGTTACTGGAAATAGCATTGCTTGGTGACTATTGTGTAATTCAAAATAGGAGTTAGTAAGACCTTGGGGTCAGGGAAAGGAGAGAGAGGAATATACGGAAAGAAACAGAATAGAGGGAGGCAGCTAATTAATAGATTTGTGGTAGGAGGGAGGTAGCACTCTCGAAACTACTATCATTTCTTTCTTTATAATCGCAATTGGCAGAATTGCACAGTAATATCACCAATTTCAGTATTCTATTTGCATTTATTTCCTTTGATCTTATCACAAGAGATATCACATATAGAGGTATAATAAGTGTTAGATAGAGAAGTCGTAGATCAACATGTATGGTTTGTTGGGCTCTCCTGGGTGTTGCATCAAATGGAAGGATTCTCAGCATATGTGACAATTATCGACAGTTTTAGGTCCATATAAATGCATCAAGTTATTATTTGCTTGGAGTATTTTGTCCATTGTGTTTTCTATATGTAGTTGCAATTAGTTTTCTGAGCTGGTACTTTTGATATCACTGGCACCAGTTGTTGGGACTAAACTTATGATGTGGTTGGTATTCTTTAATGTAGAATTGACTTATAATAAAAGTACTAAAACCTTTTCTTAAGCTTTAAAAAAAAAACTTTTAAGTAAAGGAGTAAATAATGTCTGTTTGAGCTGGTTTTTAACTTAAGTAAAAAACCAACTTATGCTCTCCTCCGTAATAGGTTTCTACAAGGTTCTTGCCTGTCTACTGCAATATCATCGTTATCCTGATTGGAACTTCATGACCATAGCATCTCCTTTGCAATGCTCCATAACATAATTACCTTCCGGAATATTTCATGCTAATACTGGTTTGAGTTGATTTTACAGGTGATGATGTGCCGCAATCACCATTTTGCATGACTAATGTTGGAGAATGGGACAAATTTAGAAATATAGACATGGATAAAGAGGTTTTGTTTTGCTTCTCTTATTCATCAAAGCAGGCTTCATTCTTGTTTAAAAGGCAAACTTTAATATTCTCCAACATTAATAAATTAAACCTTCAATGGGACATTTATATTGCTTTTTATGTTAAAAGGTTTTCCTTCATGAGCATTTAACATTATTTCCTCTTGGATCTATAAACATTAGTTTGCAAATGGATCTTAAAAGTGACAAATTCATTTATGCACGTAAAGTAAAAGGCACACACCTGGACATGTATACGTGTTCGCAACATATGCTTGCTGAAAATTACGTATCACAGTTGTTAATTCGTCTGGATACTTGTGGATATTTGCATGTTCCAAATTATGTGTTGCAGCCATTAGTTTATTGGGATATGTTTAATCTTTCTTTAGCATATTAGGTGTCATATTCTCAATTAAAATCTTTAATATCTTTTTGGCAGGCTAATATAATTCGTACCTTGGACCGCGCATCTCCAAGAAGAAAAAGCCATATTGATGCTGATAAACTTGCTGTCGTGAATGCATGGCATAGGATTAACTGCCGAACAAGAGAAGCTCTTCGCCGCAGCTTTCTTTCAGAACTAATTGATGGCTATGAGGTACATGATTCCCATTCTTATAGATGTTTTCGATATGATTCTTCTATGGAGTTATTAATCTTAAATTTGAAGTGAACATATTACTAAGTTTGGTTCTTCAATTTGTTATACATCGGGAAGGTATTAGGTGGCTGATGTAGAAAATTAGGATTAGTTTGCCTACTTACAAATTTGGGGGAAAAAAGACGCTAGTGTTACTTGGGGATCATACCTAAAAAGGAATTCTTAAGCATCGAATCTAAGAGTTAATTGTCTCATACAACCAAGGTCTTGAGAAAATTCTCAAAATACTTTATTTAATACGTGAACCGCCTTTATTAGTTTATATAGGTATTTTTAATATTTTCCCAAATAGGACTAGATTAAGAATTTCCCATAATGCTAATACTATCAATGAAACAATTTTACTATTGAAAATAGAGAAACTAATCATAAGTAACTTAGGATATCATAAGTCAAATTTTGAAGCTATTAAAGTCCCACTTGTCATATTACTGCAATAAATTAGGGATTAGATAGAAAGACAATCCTTAATCAGTTTAGAAATTGCAAATCAAATCTGTTTTGCTTCATAAATTGCTTTGTTGGAGAGAACTCATGTAAGAGTTTTGAAGTGAGAAAGGATCAAGAAACTTGATTATGAAACATCCCAAAAGAATTTTGGCAAACCCTTGAATTGATCATCCTCTTCAATAGCAAAAATAATTGAGACACTGACCTGGCTAGGGGAGTGAAACCTTGTAGGTAGGGTGAAATCAACACATTGGCAAAATTATACTTCACTTTTATCTCTGACTTGAACATCATTAGAGTCAATTAGTGCTTTGGTTTACCCTTGCAATGAACACCCATAGAAATCTCTTTGGTGAAGGTCTTGAATAATCTGAAAATCTTTGCTTTCATGAGCATCTCTTGGTGATTCTTTTTCTTTCTGCTCCAATCCAATGGGCCGATGAATATGTGATGTTGATGTCCCAATTTCTTGAATAGGTTTTCCATCAATTTACCATTTTCATTTATTGCTGGCTGTTATGGGCTCAGTGTTGATCTCCAAAAAAAAGTTATGAGCTCAGTGTTGATCTCCAAAAAAAAGTTATGAGCTCAGTGTTTATGCATCTCCAATTATTTGGCCTCATAACCATGTTCTTTGTGCCAAACATAAGATTTCAAGTGTTGCTACTCTAATTTTTTTTTTTTGAAATAAAGAGAAGTATTATTGTGGACAATAATACTAAAGAAGTACCACCCATATATAAAATAGTTGCATATTAGTCAAGTGGTCAATGACCATTCCAATCTTTCATGTCATAATCCAACAAAACAGAAAAAAGTGTTAATCCATCTATTTCTAATTTTTACAAAGTCAGTTTCTAGATTCTCGAAAGTTCTCATATTTCCTTCCTTCCACACAATCCAAAAAATGGTAAGTGGAACTAAGAACAAATTTTTGTTTTTTTTGGCATATACCCGACCAAACCCATAATTTCTTACTAAAAAATGGTAAGTGTTGATACTCTCATTGTATTGCAAATTGATCATAAAGTCAAGGTCAACCTAGAAGAATATGTGTGAGCATCTTTAGGATTAGATAACACGAGTAAATTGCTGTAGGCACCATGAGGAATGGGAAAAAAAAAACTAGGTAACGAAATATCATCTACCCATGCTGGTCTTTGTGGATGTGATTGCATTTAAAGACTTGAGTTGTACAACTGTAAAGATTGAAACAAGGTTTATGTGGCAACCCTCATGAATGTATAGCTTTATTGTTTTCCAGAACAAACTAGGGTTATAAAAATTGAAAAATGCTTCCAATCTTCTTTCACTTTAGTTGCTTGATTGTGCTTAACTACTTCCAGAAAGTAGGTATCAATTTTGCCATCTGTCAAAGATTGCTATTCTCTTTTTCAATATTCACCATATTCAAAATTTTCCCAGAAGAGGACTTATGAGATTGAATATGGTGAAACAAACTGGAAAAACAGAAAGAACACACTTAAAACAAATAAATAGGAATGACCCTTCTCTTTCATCACACCGAAGTGCTAATCTTGCCCATATTGTTCCTTGTAAATTTGATTCTCCAATCTAAGCTTCTAATTTAGGTGACCATTCAAAGTCTTATTTTTTTCTACTTGAAATATACAAAACTATCCTTCTCTTCTAACTATTAAGTCATACTCTTGCCCAAAATTCCACACTTAAATTTAATCATAGACAATTTTGGGCCAAGATCCAGATTGAAATTTTGGAACGCGGATCTAAGGGGTGTAAATGCTTCTAAGAAAAATGCATTGAAGTGGACCCTAAGGTTCAAAATTTGCCTGGCTATTTTATAACAGAAAATTCAAATTCAAAACTTCAAGCCAAAGTCTTGCTATGCTGCACCAATTATATGGTGAGAGAGACCAAAATCTGGACTCCAGATATTTGACTCTTATAGAGATATTTAACTGATGCATTTATTGTGCTCAAGGGTTTTTAAGCTTCAAAATGAGACTACCATATGTGGAATTCAATACTGCAACATAAGACAGCAGGAATTTTTGCGGAGGTTTTCTGCTCAGCATTTTTTGCTTGAAATAATATTCTAGGATAGATCTAAACTGACATTCTTCTCAGCTGTTGCTGCATTAATTTCTGAGTAAATATACTCAGTATCAGAGGAACTACTGTCTCAAGGTGTCTTCATAGAGAATTTCAGATTTTTGAATGCCAAAAACCTACTTTATCCTGCTTCTTGAAAATGAACTACTCAATCTTGACGATTTTGAGTTTTTTTGTCTACAATTATACCCAATGCATCCTAAATTGCATCTTTATTGATATGCTATTATGATTCTTCTTTTCTTTCCTAAAGACTCTTGCAAGCTTGAGGATTTTTCAATTAAGTTATGCCTTCACCCTGTCAGAAACTGTGCATCTTTAACCCAGTTTAATTGATGTCTGTTACTAATCTTTTTATAGGATTGCATCCGTACCTTTGTTATGGAGACACTGAATGATGATGTCCTGGTACTACAGATTAAAGATCCTTTCCACAGATTGCTGCTTCATGGTGTCTGTGAGGTGATCCTGCTTGCCAACTGTTTTCTGAAATTGACCAATTTTTTCCTGCTGGAATTATGAATTATCCAATCAAGTTCCATTTAAGCATACCACTTATAGGATTATTTTGTGCCATAGATACTACAGGTTTTTCATTATCATCTCCCCTTCCTTTCTTCATTTCTTTACAAAGAGGATAATGCTAAATGAAGACTATGTTATTAACCTCGCAAAAGATACTATAACCCAAGGATGTTGCTTTTGGCTTTTTTTTTTTTATTTATTCAGAACATGATTAAAGTGTGAAATTTAATGTCCAAAATCTGCTTTTGAACAGTTTTATGATTTGGTTTCGGTAACATTTGATGAGTCAAAGAATGGAGAGTTGGTGAAGATGACGAGGATAAAGAAGAAGAGAAAGGGCTCCCTTGAGCTCCCAAAGATCACCCTCGTCCATTTCCTGAAAATGTCAAAAGAAGGGAGTTGGTAATTTAATTGGGGTCACTTCCCAATTTCAGTTAAATAAATAAAGTTGTGGATGTCGTGACCTTATCAAAAGCTTCATGTATCTTGATGAAGTGATTCAATCTCGTTTGGCCTTTGTGTTGTAGCTTATTGTGATAACTCTAGGAGGCTGTAGCTGGTGAAGATGTATGTAATCTCTGGTTTTCGCCCCAAGATTTGTCTGTATATTTTTAGTTTTAGGTCATCCTAATATTGTTTTACATATTTAGCGTGTTTCTTTGGAGAGTTTGCACAATGGGTAGTTTTATTATTGTTTCTCTCTTCAAGTATTCAGCCAACATAAGGTGGTCCAAATGGACAAAAAAGTTTGATGTTAATGCGTTTATAAACGCCTGCAGTAGTAGTTTCACAATTCACCAAGACAACTATGTTAACAAATTTAGACAGCCAATGTTCGGGGTTGGTTTTGAGGATGATCCAGACCGAATAAGGTTAGTTTTGGATGGTTTTGCGGTAATGAGTTGAGCCACTGGGGTTTAAGCTTGGAAGAGAATCAGACTGTTGCTTCCGTTAAGAAAATCATTTGAATACAAGGACTTAGGAGTATTTACATTATTTAATACAAAAAAGTATTTTATACAATCAAATTATTTTAGACGTCAATTGAATATGGTAAAATATTTTGATAATTTAGTGACAAAACGATATGAAAATACTTTGTATAGATAAAATTGTTAAATTTACAGTATAAATATAAATAGGACAGCATAAAACATTACATTCTCTTTATTTATTTTTTCTTAAGTTACAGTACTGGATGTTGTGCCTGTGGTAATCGTACTAATACTGGTTTTGATGGTTATTTTGCATGGTTAAAGATTTTAGAGCGTAAATTTTTTACATTTTCGTGTGTAGGTATGAATCATCTATTTACTTATAGCAATATGAATTACTAGAACCATATCCATACTACAAATTTCTTATTAGGGGGTTAAAAAAGATGTAAGCATATTTACATTATAATTATCTATAAAGTAATTGATGTTAGAGAAAACCAAAACACCCCTAGTGGTTGGCTACTTGGCATAAAAAAGTTTTCCAAATTCATGAATGGCCTAAAATTGTATTACTGATGGGTTATTATTGCATCACACAAAATTTCATTTGTG